CGATGGCGGTGGGGGGCGGAGGCGGGAGGGAGGCGGGAGGGAGGGGCGTGGGGAGGGAGAGCTCCGCGTGCTGGACCGTGCATGTGGCTAGATGCCACCCGCCCAACAAGCTTGCGCTTATTAGGGGCGGGTGAGGTGTGCTCGTAGGGGACACAGAGAGTCGGTGTCGGAGAGAGACAATACATGATACGTGATTGTGTCCACATTTTGACCACACAAAGCTCAAAGGTCAAGAGGAGTGAACTCAGCTCTCAGGGGCTGCCTGTGCCTCGTCTGTAAAGGCTAAAGCCGCGGAGGGACGCGGCGAGGAGGGCGAGGGCGGCACTAAAGCGAGACCCGCTGTGTCCGATCGCGCGGAAAGCCGCGCAGCAATGGACCGAGGAAGATGAGAACCCGCCTAGAGCGACGATGGCGCACTTGCTTAGCGGCGCCTGCCTGGGGAATAGGGACTTAGGGAGCAGGCCAGATGGTTCCTCAGAGTAGCGCGAGCGCAGACGGGGACGGCGATCAGCAAAGTAGCCCAGGCGGCACCCGACTCCAAGGATACGCTGAAGACGCTGAGGATAGCGCATGTCGCTGCGCTGAAGGGCTCACGCTATAGGGTGCTGGATGAGGACGGGTACGATGCACTAGCCCCAGCCGTCGGGGGGGTGTTGGGTCAGTGTTGCCGGCGCTGGTAGATGATCTCTCTCGGAGAAGAGCCGGAGGGACCTTGGCGCCGGGGTCACGAGGAACTTGCAAATCGTGGCCGAGGCGGCGACGGGCGCGGTGCAGAGGTGGATCCAGCTCAATGATGAGGCTACGCGGCGCGCATAATGAAGAGAGACGAACACATCGGAGTGGCTGATGAAGCTCTTCACTGGGTGGAATGAGGCTCGGCCGGCCTTGAGGGAGTCGCGGAGGAGGAGGGATAACGCAGGCAACGCAGGGACGGGCCAACAGCCAGTGGGACGAACGAGGGCCGCGACGGCGGCTCAAGCGGGAGGGAGCGGAGACGGTGGGCAGCGAGCGAAGTGGGTGAGACTGATGATGCTCTTTCGACTTAGGGAGCGGTTCAGCTGCTGGGAGGGCTTCAGGCTGGTGCTCACGCGAAAAGGAATCGACGCGATGTGCAAAGCATACTCCATACAAGAAGGGGAGAAGGAAGAGGAGAGACGCCAGTGATGACGAAGCAGAAACTAGTGCAGACGAGAGCAGGGCAGAGCCGGGGACTGGGGAGCCGGAGCAGACGGCATCGGCCGCCGAGGGAACGTTGGGAAGAGGCACGAGGAGGGCGGCGACCTCGACCGATCCGACTATGGAGGACCCGTCGCCAGACGACGCAGGGCAGAAGACGGTGAGGCGGAGCAGACGCGCAGGGCGAGACGAGGGAGGGAGCAGGACTTTGCGGAGATCAGCAGGAGGATGTACGAAGAGATTAGGAGCAGCAGGGACCCGAGGGACCATGTGGAAGACGGCTAGTGCTAGTCCCCCATCGGGAGGACGACCCCGGCTAATGGAAGACCTCGTGGAAGTGGTCCTTGGTCACCGTGGCGCGCCGGCGGTAGTCACGCATCCGCGCCGCCGGCTCGTCCGCCATCTCCGCCTCGTCGAACGGCGCGGCCTCCGGGTGCAGGCTGCGCAGGTTCTGGCGCACGTCCGGCTCGGAGACGTCGGCGATGGGGCTGGCCGTGAAGCGCGCGTTGGCCTTGGAGAGGTAGCCGGCGTTGACGAGCCGCAGGACGTCGCGGAGGAGCTTCTCGTTGCGCCGCGCCTCCTCCGCCTCCTCCTTGCGCGCGCGCGCCTCCGCCTCCGTGTCGAGCGACGCGCTCGGCCGGCGCTCGCAGTCGGGGCAGCCCTGGGCGCAGCCCGTGCACGGCTCCGGCGGCCGGCCCTCCTCCCGGCGCTCCTCCGCCGACAGCCCGCGAATGCGCTCGCGCTCCTCCTCGGCCTTGACGGCGCCCTCCCGCCTCTCGCGGGCCGCCCGCTCGGCCGCCGCCGCCTCGGCGACCATCTGCTGCCAGAGGGTCTGGAGATGGCCCTGCATCACCAGGCGGATGCGGCCGAGGACCTCGACGTTGCTCGGCGGCTTGCGGCGCCCCGACAGCCTCCCGAGCGTCACCGTCTTGGCGATGGCGACGAACTTGAAGCCGCGCGAGACGTTGGGCGTCAGCTTGTCGAGCAGCGCGCGCCGGTAGCCGGAGTGGATCATGTTGTAGTACTCGCGCTCGATCGCCGAACCCTTGTCCGGCGTGCGGGCGATGATGGCCTCGAGGCCGTGGATCACGCCTTCCAGAAAGACCAGATCACCCGAATGCCACGTTCGGATCGCTCCTCGGGAGGATGGAAAAAAGAAAACCCGGATCACCGTCGATCGACCAGAACAACAAACTCGACTAGCTCTCTCGACCAGCCGCCCCCTCCACGGTACAATTGTATGCGGCGGCGCGAGTCGTTCCTGCGTTCTCTCACGGCGCGCGAGCTCGGTCCGTGCCGGCCGCGAACACCCGCGGTTGACGCGTCCGCGCTCTCGCTCCGCGCCTCGACCGTCGCCCTCTCGAGCCACCTGGAGCTGACGCCACGCGGCGACGCGGTCACGACGCTCTCGCTCGAGGCCATCGACGAGCGGTACCTGCTCGCGGGCTGCGCCGACGCGTCGGTCGCGCTGTACGACGTGGCAGACACGCCGAGCGCACCGCCCCGCGGCCCTCCGCAGCCGCGCCGTCCCGTCGTGCAGGCCACGCGGCGGTCTTGCCGGTCGGGCCACACGGGCGCCGTCGCGTGCGTGCAGTGGTTTCCGCACGACACGGGCGCCTTCGTCTCGGGCGGCTACGACGCGCTCGTCAAGCTGTGGGACACAAACACCATGAGCCCCGCCTGTGACTTTGAGTCGGCGGGCCGCGTCCACTGCGTCTGCATGTCCGAGGTGGCGTCGCGGCACAACCTGATCGCCGCGTGCGCCGACGGCGACGACAGGGAGGTCGTCCTGTACGACCCGAACGTCGGCCACGCCGCCCACCGCCTCTGCGGCCACCGTGGTGTTCCGTGGGCGCTCGCCTGGTCGCCGCGGGACGAGTGCCTGCTTTCTGGGCGGCTGGCGACGTTCGGCAGGAGAGCGGCGCATGCTCACGGCTGGGTGGTTCGCGAACAGGCACCACCTCGTCTCGGGCGGCTCCGACGGCTCTCTCCGCCTCTGGGACATCCGCAAGAACATCCGCGGCTGCCTCCGCTCCTTCGACGTAAAGCCACACCGCCACACCGCCTCTGCGCTGGCCATGCATCCGACCACATCTTGACCCAATTCACGGTGGGAACAGGTCCACCACACATTTGCGCGCGCCGGCCCTCCGCGCGCGCCCCCCCATCGGAGTGCGGCTGGCGCGGGCGGCGGTCGGCCAGACGCGACCGGAGACGCGCCCTCGCTCGCCGCGGCCGCGCGCCGGCTCGCGGAGCCAAAGGCGCACCTCGGCGGCATCACGTCGGTCGCCTTCTCGGCCGACGGGAGCGTGCTGCTCTCGTCTGGCCGCGACCAGCGGCTGAGGCTGTGGAGCGCCGCGTCGGGCGCGCAGCCACGCACCCCAGCCACGCACCCCCCCGGGGGGCCCGCCGACCAAAGGCGCCCTCCCCGAGCCCGCTTCGGGGGCGTCGCCTGCGCAGGTGAGAATCTGCTCGTGCACTACGAGGGTGCGTACAGCAGCGCCAAGCGAGGCGCGCGCACCCCCGAGAGACGGCCTCCGCGCGCCCTGCCCCGTGCCCTGCCCTGCCTGTGTGTGTGTGGGGGGGGGGGGGGGGGGGCAAGTCAAGGGCGGCGGGGAAAATTGGGGCGCGGCTAAAGTCCGGCCCCGGCGCACAGGGCACAAGCAAATCGCGCTCTCGACCCGGTTTGGCCACCCGGGCCCCCCCGCGTTTAAATGCGGGGGGGGAAAAAAATTTTAGGGGGGGCACAGGGCATTTGGGGGCACAGGGAAAAAGCCACTCCCTTTGCCACTTGGGCTCTGAGCCACCCGGGCACGGGGCACCAGCAGATGCAGCGCCGCACGGGGCACCAGCAGATGCAGCGCCTCTCGCCACTTGCGTCACCGCCCCGGCGAGCACTCCAAAGACGCGCGCTCGGCAGTGTCCGGCGGAGCAGCCGCGCCCGACAGAACTGCACTCGCATTGCGCGCGCTCCTTGTCACCCAAGGCTCGCGCGTCTACTTCCCGACCGCGGACGCCGTGCGCGTGTACGACTTGCACTCGGGCGCGCTGCTCCAGACGCTAAAGGGCCACTTTGGAGAGGCTCTCTGCGCCGCCGCCGCCGCGAGCGACCACAAGGTCTTCACGGGCGGGGACGACTGCAGCAGCCGCGCCTAGATGCGGGACACGGATCGCGGCCATCGCGACCAGCGCTCGAGGCGACGCGCGGTTCGGCTGCGGCTGACACCGCACTATGTTGACCGCCCTTGTGAGCCGGGGCCGAGACGCTCTTCACACCTCACGTCCTCGCTGCCTCATGCCGCAGGCATCCTCGCGTGGACGCCGCCGCCTTGCGGGCTGACCGCGCCCGCGCCGCGAGAGGAGCCCGCGCCTGCGCCGCACGAGCAGCGGCGCGACGCATTTCTTGCCGGCGCGCCCGCCGGGCGGCTGCGCCAAGACGGCGGCATCGCCGCCTTCATCGAGGCGGGCGGGGCGGCTGCGCCTGCGACGGTCGCCACCAATGCAGAGGTCGAGGATGGCGACGCGTGGAGTGAGGACGAGGCCCCACCACACCCTGCGCCACCCCGCCCCCCGAAGCGGCGACGCCGTCGCTAGAAAATAAATAAATAAAAACGGACACCTCTACTGTGAGATGGGTAAAAAGGAACAGGTCCCCGCCCGTTCCATCTTTGTGCAGGGTTCTTTGTGGGTGTGGTCGGCGACTAGCCGGGGTCGTCCGACGTCGCTAGAAGTGTCGCGAGAAACGTGCCGGCGAAAAAAAATACTGTTGGCACAACGTGATGCATGTCTGAAGACAAACAATGTCGCTCTCTCGGGAAGGTCAACGTGCGCACGGGGACGCCACTGCGCCCGCCTCACACGCTCCACACACGCACGTTGACGTTCCCTGCGGACCGGAGCCGTGCCCGGCGGCACCCGTGGCGCCCCCAGAACGAAATAATACGAGGAGCCGGAGACGACGAGTTCATGCGCGCCTCTATGTCGTCTACCTCTGCCCCTGAGCTACCTACTCCCTGGCCCGCCCCATCCAGGATGCTGCAAACCGGGTCCGTCCTCGTCCTCCTCGGGCACGAACCGCATGTTGCACGCGCAGGCTGCGCTCGGGTCCTCCGGCCGCATGAGGACGCACCCTACCTCCTCGCCCTCCGTGAGTAGCAGCGGCCCAAAGCGGAACTCGGCCTCGTGTCCCGGCTGCGGCACGATCCGCACCGTGTCCGGGTCCAGCACTGCCCAGTCGGCGTTGGTGGTGTGAATGTGAGCCTCCGTTCGCCGGATCGCAGCCGTGCCGTGGCCCTCGAGCCGCAGCCAGCCGTAGCACTCAGAGAGCTCATTCCGCTGCTCGGCGACATAGGCGCCGTCCATGCCCATGAACGCGGGGATCTCCAGCGTCGGGCCGCTCGCGCTGTCCAGCCAGCTCGCGAGGGAGGCGAGCCAGGAGGAGAGGAGCGCGCCTCCCGGAACGAAGGAGAGCGCGGTGCCGACCATCGAGCCGGGCCCGTCTGGCATCGCCACCCCCTCCAGACGAACGGCGGCGGCCACCCTCGCCTCTCTTGGACGCAGGTGCTTTGGTGCTTTCGGACGCAGGTGGCGGTGTGGAGTGCGTCCCCACCGTGCAGTGAGATCGAGAAGAATTTAAACAAACAACTCTCTGTCACAGCACACAGGCTCGACACAGGTGCGAACTGGCGCGTGCTAGTACTATCACCGGCACACCACCGGAGCCGCCTAAGCGACTCCGTTAAGAACGGCAATGCACTTAGCTCCGTGCACAATGCCGCTGTCCCCGCACGCTAGCTCGTTCACCGTCTGCCACGCCACAGCGGTGTGGAGAACGACAGACAAGCGCTGCATCTGCAGCCCGTGCCAGTTCTTGGTGGTCCATGTGACCTCATCGAGGTGCTGAGCGTGCGAAAGTTTGTTACTCAGCTGGTCCGCCGCCTGCCGAAGAATTCTGCGGACGCCGTCCCCGAAGCCGCCGAACGTCTCGAAGTCGAGCAAACGCAGGTCGCAATTCTTCTCCCGCGCGAACCGGTAGTCGCCCTTCTTGTAGGGGGCCGTCACAGGTGCCCCTGCCTCCGCCTCCGCCTCCCCCTCACTCTCCCCCTCCTCCTCTTCCGCCGCCGCCGCCTCCGCCTCTGCATCCTCCGCCTCCCTCCCCCCCTCCCCCCCCCCCTCCGGCCGCGGCCATGCAGCATGCCCGAACACTAAGTCGAGCAGCGCCCGCTCGGTGTTGCCGAAGGCGACAAAAGCCCCCTTCCAGCCGAGCCGATCGCCACCCTTGCACGTAAGCGAGCTCGTGAGTTTCAAGTCGCCAACGAGGCGCACATGCCCTTTGCCGATGTTCGCCGCTGCCACGTCAGGTTGTTTTGGGTTACTGTAACTGAGGTGTGCAGTCGGCTCCATCTCGATGAGCATGCCCCACGCCGAGCGAAGGGTCTTGACGAGTCGTTTGAGCAGGTATTTGTGTCGTGTCGCGTGCTTCGCACGCGGGTTGACCATTGCGGCATCGCCGAGTTCTTCGTGCGGCTTGCCGTTTGGCGCCTTCTTGCCCGCCTCCACCGCCTGGCAGGCAACATCGAGCGGGAGGCCGAGGCGGCGCTGAACTGTAATGCGCATCGCCCACGTCTCCATCTTCATATCATCCCGCATGGGGATCGCATTCAGGAAGGCGCCAGCCCCCTCCTGGCTGACTGCGACGAACTGAATCGCCTCGCGCCAGCACTTGTGGTTCTTGCACCTGCCAGTCTTGTAGCGGCCGCCCCGCCGGGATGCCTCGCTGACGAAGGCTTCGGCGAGGGCGAGCCAGTTGCGATGGTGTACGCCGACGGTGTACCGCCGCTGCGCCTGCTGTAAGAACTCGCTGGTAGACGAGAACTCCGCCCGCAAAGGAAGCAGCGCAGCCGCCAGCAGCGCCACACGCGACATAGCCCCCAGCGTAGCTCGCGGCAGCGCAGCAGGAATGAAGGGTGGAGTCGTCCCGGATGCTCTTAGAGAGGCTGATACCGGTACGACAAGGACAGCGACAGAATGGCGTTGCGTCACAGGAGGAGCAGTGGCGGCAGCAGAGGGCAGAGACGGCAGAGGCAGGGGCGGCGGCTGCGGAGGTGGAGGGGGCGGAGGAGGTCGAGGCAAAGGCGGAGGCACAGGTGGGCTGCTGCTCAGGCTGCTGCTCAGGCTGCTGCTCAGGCTGCTGCTCGGGCTGCTGCTCGGGCTGCTGCTCGGGCTGCTGCTCGGGCTGCTGCTCGGGCTGCTGCTCGGGCTGCTGCGAGGGCTGCTGCGAGGGCTGCTGCGAGGGCTGCTGCTCGGGCTGCTGCTCGGGCTGCTGCGAGGGCTGCTGCTCGGGCTGCTGCTCGGGCTGCTGCTCGGGCTGCTGCGAGGGCTGCTGCTCGGGCTGCTGCTCGGGCTGCTGCTCGGGCTGCTGCTCGGGCTGCTGCTCGGGCTGCTGCTCGGGCTGCTGCGAGGCGAGCCTTGTGCCTGGAGGTCGGGCCGTGGCAGCAGCAGGAGGCTCGGGGACCAGGCTGTCGCGTCGCAGCGGCCGGCCGGGAGAGCTCTGTTGGGGTTGGCGCTGGTCTAGGGCACCAGAGCGTCGTCCATCAGAGCGTGGCCCACCGGCCGGCAGCGCGTGTACCGAGCTGAAGTCCGTGCGACTGGTGCCTTCGGCAGCGGCCGCGGGCGGCTGCAGCCGCTGAGGATCTCCAGGTCGGCTCCCACGGTGGCAGCCGCCAAGGGCAGCCACCATCGTGGGGACGCGCGAAACTTGTAACAAAAGAAGAATAGTGCCTTGGTGGGCGTTGAGCAGCGATCCAAGCGATGCCGTAGTGAGTGAGTGGTCCCGGGCCCTGCGGGGAACTAAGTCGGTGCAAGTTAGTCTGTGAGTCTCGGCTACGGGACCGGCCCCAGCTTCGGCTGAGGGCTAACAAGCTGCCGAGCCCAAATCACTGTGAGAGTCGTGATTTCTTGTTGGTCTTCAAATCTCTCTCTCTCTCTCTCTCTCTCTCTCTCTCTCTGGACGAGGGCTAGTGGTGCGCCGTGGCGGGTCAAGTGGTGAAGTGCTCCCGGGACCAGCCCGGGACGCGGGAGTCGTGGTCGGAGGCCGGGACACTACGCGCACTAACTTAGTGTGCGGAAGTGAGTGCCTCCAGCCGGCCGCGAGGGGAGTGGTCCGGCGGGCCGCTCGTAGTGCCCTTCGCCGGCGGACGGAGGCGGGCTCGGCTACTACGCGCACTAAAGTGTGCGTCGAGCACGGGCTGTGGTCGTGCGGCTGCGCCGGCCTCGGCATAGCGACCTATTAGGTCGACTCGGGCAGAGGCAGGATTTTGACACGCGCCTGGGCCGCGATGGGAGGAGCGCCAACAGGGGAGAGGGGTGTGGAGAGAATGAAAGAAAAAACAGAGGCATCGAAGGAGAAGATCTTACTTGTTGATGAAACGGCAAGAGCGTAAAAGAAACACTCGCGTGAGAGAGAGGAGAGGGGGGAGGGGGAGAGAGAAGGGGGGAGAAAAAAGAATTCAAACGAACGAGAAGACGAAAAGCATATGCTACATGTTCATGCATTTGATTGCCCAGGGGCCCAGGGGCCAGGCCCAGGGGGGAAATCTCAAAAAAGAATTTTACAACAAAAGGCGGTCGCACAACACGATTCACGCGACAGGCAAAAAATAATGCACCTAAGAGCCACATACATTGAAAAATCGGCCCGCGAGTGCTCCGCGGCAATTTCGCTGGGCCAGAAGATCGGCCCGCGACCGAGGTGGGGTGCTAGAGCTAGTATCGTAGTATGAGCCCGACGGGTCATAGTGCAAATTATCCGCATAATCCCTCAAGCTGAGTGTACACGTCCCATGCAAACTCAGGTGCGCCTCTACATAAAGTTGCCCGCCTCCAAATGGCAAGCTTTCACAGCCTTGTTATCGTGAGAAGAAAATACGTCCTATGGCGCTGTGCGCTGGGTCTGTGAGAGGTTGAGGTGCGAGCCCTGGAGGCCCTGGGGATGGGGTGAGACTACCCGCGGGCCTAGAAGGCCCTCGCGCAGGGGGGTGGGACATTGAGACCGGTCATGAATGAGTGCGCGACACGCATGTTGCGAGCAGCGTTGTTGATGTTTTGCGCGTCGCCACAGACGGCCGGCGCGCGAGAGCTGTTGCGAGTGGTGCTGGGCGAAGCCCCAAGCGCTGCCGGAGGCTGTGCCGTAGTCGGTGCGGTCGACGGCGCTCGGGCTGCTGACCTCTTTGGCGAAGTTGTAGATGATTCTCTTGGTTGGCGGCGCGATGCCGCCCTGGCTTTCGACGAGACAAATTTTGACGATTTCGTTCTTGACATGGAGCGCGTCGTAGTACTGTCCCTTGTGCTCTTTGACCCAGCCTTTGCCGGTCGCATGGACGAGCGGGCCCTGTGACTTGTGGCCGCGCTCTTTGCACCCAAGAACCTTGAGCAAGGTTTGGTCGAGGGTGCCGCCGAAGCCGCTCAAACTTGTGGCCCAGTGACGCACAGCATCCGCCGTGTGCCGCCGAGCCCTGCCCAGCCTGCCTCGTCTTTGTGAGGGCGCTAGGCACCTTGATTTCGTAGTGGACATCGCGCTGGGACTGCAGGTCTCCGCCGATCTCACACATGTCGGTGACGTGCCCCTCGTTGAGATGGAAAGTCGTCTGAGGGTTCGCCTTGTCACCGAGCAAGAGGGGGAAAAGGTACCCTCGACCCTCACGCCTGCAACCCTCGCGCGACAGCACACCACTGCTCCGCACGCCACGAGACACCGTTGCAGGACCAACCCCAAAACGCGACAGCGCACAAAATAGGGAGGGTGGGTGGGGAAGCAAGACAGGCCGTGTGGGGGGTGGGTGTCACGAGGACAGACGTCCACGAAGACGGTGGACGGACGCAAACTCCTTATCCGATTCACACTCACGGCTGTCCTACCTACTGGTCATCTAAAAAGTCGGCCGTCCGCGAGCCCCTAGCTCGCCGACGGCGAGAGAGATGCCACGAGGGGTCGCGGTGGCGTCCATCGCCAGGCTCCCTAGCTCAACCGACGACCCTCGTGCCTCGGGATCGACGGCCGATCGTCATCAGGCTCGTGCACGGACCATGTTGGCCGCCGCATACATGGTGCCGTTGTGACGAATGTTGTGCTCGCACGAAATGTCCTTCGATCCGTTTGCAAGCTGGTCGCCCTTCCGCATACCGATGGTGACTGTCTCACCAGCCGCCTCCTTGGCGTCGTACACGTACTTGGCGCAGGAAATGTAGTCGCCGTGGCGGCGCTGCAGCGCCGTGGCAAAACCTCCGAGGTGATTTTGGAGGAGTGCCGGCCGTCGGGGCAGAGGTCGAGCCACGCTCCTGAGGCGAACTGAGAGACGGCGATGAAGCGTGTCGCCGCCCGATGTTTGACGCCGTCTGGGTCGTCCATCTCGGCATCCAGCCGCTCGCAGGCGGCGAGGCAGCGAAGCCACCGCTCGTGCGACGCAATCTCCAATCTGAGCGAGCGTGTGCCCTGTTTAGGGACTGGAGAAGTGCTCTGCTCAGAGTAGAGGATGAGGTGAGTCTCTTTCTAGTTCTTCTTCTTCGTGTGTGTGTGTGTGAGTGGCATGCTACTTTCAACGATCGGCGTCGTGTTGCTCCTAACACTACAAGTACCCGTCGCAAAACACTTGCCGTTTGCGTCGCTGGCCCCAGACGCGTCAAGCCCTGGCGGAGGGCGGGGCCCGGCGCCACATGGCGCCGGCCAAACCGTCTAGTCAAAGGGTCGCACGAGTGCAACCGGGTAGCGGGGGGCTATGAGTCCCATGACCGCGCCTCCGCGGCTAACAGCTCGAAGCTCTCGCAAGCTGCAAGCTCGCGACTCACAGGCCGCTCTCGAAAGCTCGTAGCGTGCCGCCAGCGGTGCAGCCCAGACCCCAGAGAGGCCTAGTGCTCCTCCTCGGCTCCTCGCCGCCTCGCACTCACCCCTCGCCTGCTCACTGCCCCGGCGCCCACATCTCGACCTTCTTGGGCAGCAGCTGGTTGGACATGTCCTCTCCGTGGCCTAGGCAGCCGCTCTCGCCCTTGCCCCACGTGAAGACGGCCCCGTCGGCGGTGGTGGCGAGGCTGTGGTGGCCTCCAGTCGACACAACGACGACGCGCTGGCCAGCAAAGGCCTCGATCTTCTTGGGCAGCAGCTGCTCCTGCTGGTCGCCGTGGCCCAGCTGGCCGAAGCATCCCCGACCCCAGCTCCAAACGGCGCCTTCGGCGGTGCGGGCGAGGTTGTGGTGCTCCCCAGCCGACACTGCGACGACACGCTGGTCAGCAAAGGCCTCGACCTTCTTGGGCAGCAGCTGGTGCTGATGGTCGCCGTGGCCCAACTGGCCAAAGGAGCCACCTCCCCAGCTCCAGACGGCGCCGTCAGCGGCGAGGGCGAGGCTGTGGAAGCCTCCAGCCGACACGGCGAGAACGCGCTGCCCCGTCAAGGCCTCGACCTTCTTCGGCTGCCACTGGTCCTGCCCGTCGCCGTGGCCCAGCTGGCCATAGTGTCCCCAGCCCCAGCTCCAGACAGCGCCGTCGGCGGTGAGGGCGACGCTGTGACCCAAGCCAGCTGACACAGCGACGACGCGCTTGCCAGCCAAGGCCTCGACATTTTTCGGCAGCAGCTGGTGCTGCACGTCGCCGTGGCCCAGCCGGCCAAGGCCTCCACCGCCCCAGCTCCAGACGCTGCCGTCGACGGTGATGGCGAGACTGTGCACGGCTCCAGCGGACACAGCGACGACGCGCTGCCCAGCAAAGGCCTCGATCTTCTTCAGCAGCAGCTGGTTCTGCTGGTCGCCGTGGCCCAGCTTGCCAGAGAGTCCACCGCCCCAGCTCCAGACGGCACCGTCGGCGGCGAGGGCGAGGCTGTGCACATCTCCAGCCGACACGCTCACGGCGCGCTCGGCGCCCAGCGGGGAAGGGAGGCGGGTCGGTGTGTTGAGCTGCGTCACACCCTCGCCGTGCCCGAGCAGTCCCGGCGTCCAGCTCTCAGCCTTTCCGCACGACGAGAGCCGCCCCCCGCCGTCGATGCAGAGGCTGTGGTGCCGGCCTGCCGCAGCCCTCGCCGGCGGGTTGGACTCGCGCAGCAGCGCAGCGAAGCACAGCCACCGCACGGCGCAGCTCTCGCCCTCTGGCGGCGCCGGCAGCTCGAAGCCGCGCTCTCGCGCCCACAAGCGGATGCCCTCCAGCGCAAGCGAGGCGTGGAAGAGCAGCGAGACGGCCGCGACGCGAGCGATGTCGGCGGGGTCGAAGCGGGAGATGACGCGCGCGAGAAGCTCAAGGGGCAGGTCGGTGAGGGGGCAGTGCGCGGCGGCGGCGGCGGCGGCGGCGAGGCGGCGCGAGCGGCGTTGCGAGCGGCGTTGTGGGGGCATCGCGAGGAAAAGAATTCTTCCGGCCGTGCACTAAGAAACCGATGAGCGCTTGCATAAGTATTAAATGAACCTCGGGGGCACAGGACGCGGCAGAGGGGCACACGCTTCGGCTCGGACCGTGTTTTTCTTCTTCGCTGGCCCCATAGCCTGCCCCTGGCTCGCGTAGCTCTTGCTCCGCGCCGTCATGGGCGTCTCGCTGCTGCTGCAGAAGCGGCTTGCCGCGTCGGTGCTCAAGTGCGGCAAGCGCAAGGTGCCGCGCGCCCGGACCCGGCCCGTGCGGCGGGTGGGGACGGCGGGGCGGGACGTGCGATGTGGCCGGCGTCCGCCGCGAGGGGGCGGAGGAGCGGCCGCGCTCTGGCAGCAGGGCTCTCGCGTGGAGAGGGGGACGGGCAGTCGTCTCGGCCGGCGGCTGCCGTGACCGCCGCCGCGCCTGCGCAGGTGTGGCTTGACCCCAACGAGGTGAATGAGATCAGCATGGCTAACTCGCGGCAAAACGTGCGCAAGCTCGTCAAGGACGGGTTTGTGATCAAAAAGCCGCAGAAAATGGTTGGGTAGTAGGGCTAGAGGGTCGCTCTACACTTAGCCTCTGCAGCGAGCGAGCGCTCAACTTAGCCCCCACACGGAGCCGGGCTCGGACTTAGACGCTGTATGGTCGGGGGCCATGAACTTAGACGACATAAGGCCAACTCCGGGCAAAACCCGGGTATCTACCCTTATAAGTCTCTCGTGTCGGCGCCGTCGCTCTTTTAACCGTAGAACGTCCCAGCTGAACACCGCCCGCCGACGATCGATCACGGATCAGTCCACAATCGTCGGCCCGCAGCGACCCGGCACCCCGCAGCGACCCGCAGCGATGGATGCCGCCCCCCACGGCCCCTACGGCCGACGCGCCGATGCACGACCGGCCTCCGTCGGACGGCTCTCCGGCCTCTCCGGCCGCTGACGAGGCCGCCCATGCTGCTGCCGATCCGGTCCCTCTCACGCTCAGCGATATCCGCACAAGCTACGACAAGTTCGAGGTCGCCGGCTTTGGCCAGGTGCAGCCTCCACCTGCTTGCCTCCATGTTCACGCTTCGCGCCCCTTCCCCCCTCTGACGCCGCCGTATACCGTAGGTGAGGGGCACGACTACCCGCCTGGAAGGCGCTCTCATCAGCAAGTCACCCAGGCACCAACTCCTGGGCGTTTACGCTTGACTACGAAACCATGCAGTGGATGCAGCTCGATCAAAACGGCGACGCCAACAGCTGGTCCCTGGGCGAGTTCCTCGCCCAGGATGAGGTGCGAGTCATGATGCTCGACCCAGCGTGCACCAAGTCGCTCACATTCCGTGAGTTCGTCAACGGGCGATTGCGATCTCGAACTCCGACAACTGGACTGGTGCACCAGCCGCGGAGGACGATGGCTCCCTCGACGACATCCCTTCATCGACGGACGCCTTCACCGCCGCCGGCCCTGGGCCATCCATCGCGGCCTCCGACTGGCTGCCGCAGCTCACACCCTAATCTATCTGCCTTAGGCACGGAGCCAACGGAGCCATCGCGCACGCCCGCAGCATCGCGTGCGGCTCCGAGGTCTCCCGCCGAGACCGGCTCGGCGCGGGTTTGACTGACGTGACTGACTGATGAGTGCCGCTTGCGAGAGAGAGATTTTTAGCAATGCTTGCGATGGATGATCTCCGACACCCAAAACCAAAATGCAAATGTCAGTGGAGCCCACACTTCGCGTGCAGATCCTGCGTCTCTCACTGCCCGAACAACAGAGGCGGGTAGTACCGCCGCAGGTCCCACACTAGTACCTGAAAAGCCTCCAGGTTTACCCGAAAATACCTGGACGCGTCCCGACCAAGAACGTATGCCGCGCGCACGACGCCATATCGCCTTCTCCCAGGGCCAGTGCGCTACTTGCGGCGCGCAACGCCTGCTCAAGTACCCCCCCCACCATGTGCTGCCGCTATGCGTGCCTTAAGGCGGCTGCGGCGAAGCCAAGCGGCGGGCGCGGCATGCCGATGGCAGTGCGGACGATGCGGTTGCGATGTGTTCTGCTTCAAGATCGTGGCGGTGCTTGGCATGCACTTCTGCGATCCCAATCAGCTCATCGCAACGAAGCAGCGCAACAAGCTGGCTGCTGCCAACAAGGCCCTATGCTACCTCACGCGCGGATCGTTCAAAGAGGACCAGCACACACAGGCTTCACCGTCACGCGTTTGATTAAGCTTGAGGAGCTTCGTGTCATGTGAGAACTGTTTGGCTAGACGTCGCTCAAGAATGAAGGAGCAGCAACGAAAATCGGAAGAGGAGGATGCTGAGGCGGCGAATGCTAAGCATGAAGAGGATCCATCGCCCTCCGCAGGCGAAGAAAATTTGGGGGCTGCGCCGTATCGTTGATCACGGTGGGAGCCTCCTGGCCCCAGGCCGTGCCACGGCCGACTTAGCCGATGTAAGAGGCTCCCGCTGATCTTAGACCGCGCAAGCACTCCAGCGTGGCTAGCCACACTTAGACCCGTCCAGCCTCGAGGCTCAGAACTTAGACTACTACCCAACCAGTCCGCAGAAGGTGCGGTCTGACAGAGGCACCTGACAATGCCTGACAGCTGCCCGACAGCCCGACAGATGTCAGATCACCTGACAGCACCTGACAGCCTGACAGCCAGGGCTCAGAGCTCATATTCACAATCTGCTCTGCGATTGCCGTATGAAGAACGACCGAGATACGCTGCTTCTGCAGCCCCAGCCAATTCTTAGTCGGTGGTCCAAGTCACCTCATCGAGGTATTGGGCCCGCGTCTCATCTCAGCTTGTTCTGTAGCAAGTCCGCCGCCTTCCGGAGGATCTCACGGTGACGGACCCCCCTCCCGAACGAAAACCCGCCGAACGATTCGAACAAGCAGCAGCTGCCCCCTGCACGTCAACGTCCCGCGAGAGAAAAGCACACGGTGGTAAGAGTCGCAGGTGACTCCAAGCCGCGCTCCATCGACGTCGATTGCCTTCGACGTCCCTCTCGGCGTAGGCAAAAAGGAAAAAATATCGTCTACTTCGTGGTCGTGCCAGACAGTGGAGCCACAGCATCCCGCGCCACAAACAACCGCGGCGGAGCCCACCGAGAGACTCCACATCGCGCCCACACGGCGCATCGTGCACGCTCGACGCTCCCATGGCACATCCCCATGGCACATCCAACGACCCGGTACCGCCTGCGGCCTGTGCTGGGGGTCGTCCCCCGCCCCCCGCCCCTCCCCTCTCCCCCCGCCCTCCCGCCCCTCGCGCGTGCGCAAGGCGCGCGCTAAAGTCGGCGCGAGAGCGGCCGCGGAGGCTGCTGCTGCTGCTGTGCTGCAGAGAGGCGCTAGATTGCGGAGACGCACTGGTAGACCGACTCCATGTACTCCTCGGTGATGGCCGTCGGCGACACAAAGTTCCACGTGCCGATGTTGTACTCGTGCAGGTGGAGCGGGTCCACCTCCGCCTTGTCCGCCTCGGCGATGTCGCCGGCGGTGCGCTGCGCCTGCGTCTCCTTGTCCTTCTTCCGCTTCGGCGCGCCCTTGACGCCCTTCATGGGCGACATCACCTGCGGGGCGAGGCGGTACCCGCGGCTGGGAGGTGGGCCGTGGCCGGGCGGGGGGCGGGGGGCACGTGGCCGGCACCTTGCACGCGGACACGATGTCCCAGTCGACGCCCGCAAAGTAGGCGTGCGACTTGACGTCCTCGAGGCCAGTCTTTCCAGACCCCAGCCGCGAGGTGTGGTCCTGGTCGAGCAGCCGCTCGGAGAAGTGTTTGCACGCCTCGGACGGCCAGGTGCCGCCGCGGTAGACGGGCGAGTCCGTATCGCGCGCCGAGAAAGGCAGGTTGCCGTGCGTGAACTCGTACGTGAGGACGCCGATCGTGTACCAGTCGGCCGATCGGCCGTACGCCGTGCGCCGCCGGCGCGCCCAGCGCACCTCGGGCGCCATATAGCAGTCCGTGCCGACGCGCGAGGAGCGGTTCGGCTGCCGCTCCGTCACGCGCGCGGCGAGGCCCATGTCGATGAGACGGACGTGGCCCTGTCGTGGAGGAGGAGGGGGGGGGGGGGGGGGCTTCCTTTAAAACGGGAGGGGCATCTCCGGGGTTTTCTCTGGCAAGGGGGGGGGAAGGGGTTGGGGCGGGTCCAAATCCCCCCCTTTTT